AACGACGGACATAACTGACGGACACCACGGAGAGATACAGTCTCCGTGGTGTAGTGGTAAGACACTCGCCTGGCGTTCCGCGAGCGCTATGTCATGGGTTCGTATCCTGTCCTGGCCGGGGAGGATTTACTGGGCGCAATTCCTTAACTGTAGCCTCTGTTTAACGCAACAGTAAAATGTGTACTTGGATGAAAAAACGATTCTTCGCGGCGGGGATCGTATTCCAGGGACCTGCCCGAAACGCTACGCGTACTAGTGGCTGTACATGAATGTAACAACTCTTGTATATATCTCAAAAAAAAAAAAACAAAAAACTAGAGACTATTGAGCTACACACTTAACAAGAGACTATAGCGCGACACACTTAACAAGAGACTAGCAGACCTGATCAGGAAGACAAAAGTAGTATGAGTCAGCCATTCATAGTGTGATGAGTGTGAACTGGCGCCCCACCACAGGTCTCTGTAGCTCACCCTGCCCTGACCAGGCCGCCATACAGGTGTACACCTCCACACACTTCTCCGCCTCTCTTTCCTCTTCTTTTCCTCCAGTTCTCCTATCTTTACATCCCCTGGAGTAGTGTGATGTTAGAGAGAGAGAGAGAGAGAGAGAGAGAGAGAGAGAGAGAGAGAGAGAGAGAGAGAGAGAGAGAGAGAGAGAGAGAGAGAGAGAGAGAGAGAGAGAGAGAGAGAGAGAGAGAGAGGTAGAGAGAGTAGGTAGGTAGGTAGGTAGGTAGGTAGGTAGGTAGGTAGGTAGGTAGGTAGGTAGGTAGGTAGGTAATTGCAGCAGATGAGGGTGGAGTCGCCGGCTCATAATGTCGGCCGCGGGGAGTCACCTTGGGTAATTTATCCCCCATATGTTTTGGTTAATCCTTTAATATCACTGGAATCTCTTTCCTGGACAACCTGAATGGGGCGTCAGAGGAACTCATGTCACTCAAACTCTGCCATGAGTATGAGGTTACTCTTGCCATGTGTGTGTGTGTGGGTGTGTGCACTTGTCACCGCTATCATTACGAAGAACTGCTGCCGTGAGCTGTATATACAGGTAGCGAGGGTAGTCTCACAGCACCGCTCCTGTGCTAGGTAAGTCTACTACGGGCTCACCATAGCCCGTGCTGCTTGGAACTTTGTTCCGAGTAGCTGAATCTATAACAACAACAGGTAGTCTAGGAAGGCTTGTTGAGGGAAGGGGATCCTTTATCCAGCGCCCCCTCTTCCCCGAACACAACTATTTGAAAGGCATTAATATTGCTAGTGACACTCCTCCAAATGGATTGTGGTTACTAAGGTCAGTGGTGGTGAGGTGAGGATGTGGGTGAGGCCCCTCGCTACACCCCGACACTTCTATATCTTCCTCCTCACACACCTTCCTACTAACATTACTTAACTTGTCTCTCTTCCTGGAGAAGCACTCACAGTGTATCGTGAACATTTGCTACAGTATTTCCAAAAGAAAAGCTAAGGAAGAGTTAATGTTAGTGCTGGACATTGTCTTACCTCGGTTAGACCTCACCGGGATTATACGGTACAATTCTGACCACCGACCTATAGAACAGATGTGAATTCTTAGGAAAGAGAAGAGAGGGATGTCCAAGTTCCTCACTGGTATTAGGAACCTTCCTGAACACGGAGAGGGATGGGAGGAGAGGATAGAGGAGAGGGGGAGCATAAAGGAGAGGAGTGGAGAGAGACATTTGACATGAATAATTTGATGAAGGCTTTTAATAAAATGGATTGGAAAGAGGTCAAACAGAGATAAAAACTCAAAACAATGGATTCATTTGATTACATTTTATATTTAGAAAATAAATACTTAAAGAGTTGTCGTGCAGTTGATCAAGAGAATAGTGATGTAGATGACATGAAATATCCAGCGTGAGAACAAGACACACCACTAAATCATCTCATTTACTGACATGATTTTTCAATCATTTTCAATCATTTTCACTGATTGAAAACTGAGATATATGAAGGAACAAACTATCGTTCCGTGAAGTGGCACGTCACTTGATCGGTAATGATAAAGGTTCATGAAATTCTTGCACTGTACTGTAGCAGATAAAGGATAAATATGGCCAATAATTATTAGCTGTATTGTCTAGAATCACAACCACCTCTGTGACACTGTAGACACCAACACTGGGTATTACAGGGGTAACATAATTATTGAACATTGTGCAAAGTGTAATCTAAGGGGAGTAGCACCGTTGTTGTTGTTGTTTAAGATTCAGCTACTGGGGAACAAAAAGTTCCAAGTAGCACGGGCTATGGTGAGCCCGTAATGGACTTACCTGGCACTGGAACGGGGCTGTAACTGGACTAGCACCGTTATGTTATGTTATATACAGTTACAATGCACGCAATCAATCCATCATTATAATTATAATTTAGTATAAAGTGTACCTAAAAATCCTAACAATCGGTGTCAAACAACATTCTTTGTAATCCTTTTTGCGCTACAGCTCACACGAGGAGCATGAAGTGCACAGTATACTAGCGCTCACGGTATTGGATGGATAACATTGATTGATGAAGATTAAGCCAGCCAAAAGGTGGCACGGGCATCAATAGCCCGTAAGTGGTGGCCTTTTTGAGCCATTACCAGTATCAAGAGCTGATACTGGAGATCTGTGGAGGTGCGACTGCACCCTACGGAGAGGTCGTGACGTCTGTAAAATAGCCTAAGCTACTATATCTCTTTGAGATGCAGTTTTTCTTGTCTCAATAAACATACTTGAACATGAATTAAGGAAACTGCAGAAGGCCATTTGGTTCATAAGATTGAGGAAGATTAAGCCACCCAAGGGGTGCCACGGGCATGAATAACCCGTAAATAATTGGTCCATACGAGGCCCCTCTTGTTTATACTCACCCAAACTCATATATGCGGTATATGTCTAACGTGAAAATGAATATGTCTAACATGCTTTTGAAAAAAAAAATCCATTGATTCCACGTCTGTTAAGTTGCCTGGTAATTGGTTTCATAAATCAACAACCCTGTTTCTTACCATTCCTTTCCCCCGTCCCATCCCAAATCCTAATCCCTTCCAAGTGCTATATAGTAATTGTTTGGCGTTAAAATTCCCTCCACCCTTACCAGTATTATCCAAATCTTTCCGAAATCTAAACCATTCCAATTTATATCCATTGTTTTGAGTCTTTTTTTGGTTATAATATATTTGAAATTGTATTTATATCCCCTATGTTATGTCCTATCCATTTATACAGCTCAATCATATCCCCCCTCCCCCTTCCTTCTCCCTTGCTCCTCCTGGGACTGTAAATTAAGCCTCCTTAATCTCTTTTCAAAGCACATTAGTTATGGAAAAGGCTGAAGGCGTTTTGGCCTACACGAGGTAGTTCCTATTATATCCACCCCGAGTCATTTATACACATGTCCAACCTACGCTTGAACCAGTCAAGTGATGCGATATCTATGATGTTGCCTGGTTATCTATTCCACTAATCAATAATCCTGTTTCTAAACCAGTATTTACCCAGGTTTCTCGTGAATCTACACTTGCCCAATTTATATCCATTGTTTCGTGTTGTATTTTGTGGTGATATATTTAACACGCTCCTCTTCGACAGCTGAAGAATTTCTTGTGTTATGTTCACTTCCAGCGTCTCAGCGTTAAATAAGCTTGGCTCGGGCTCGTCAAAAAATGCAGCGTTCAATTACAGTAAATCACAGCCCCGCTCCTGTGCCAGGTAAGTCCACTACGGGCTCACCATAGCCCGTGCTACTTGGAACTTTTGTTCTGAGTAGCTGAATCTAAAACTACTACTACAGTGAACGTTCAGTTACAGTGAACTAGGTATATACTGAAAACTGCGTAAATCATGAAGGAAAATCCAAGCCTATTGGGAAGACTAACTATCAGTAACAAGTAAAGCTCCCTGGAGGATAGGGGGAGGGGGGCTGGTTGGGTAATTAGGGGAAGCCTTTATACCTTGACACATTGATGACAAGTGTCCATCATGTGTGATTTCACACTCCAACGCAAACCTCCTCCAACCAGTGCTGGGTTGACAAGTGCTCCCAGACGTCGTCCTCCCCCTAACTACAGTACCAGTCATTACATCACTTGCCTCTATTACTAATGGCTTTATTATAACTACACTTATAATATGAATAATAGTAATAGAATTTTATTTTTTAATGTATACAAATGAGCATATTACAGTGGTTAATTAGTAGGTATATTATTTATATTGTATATATAAATACAATATATATAAATACAATATATATATATATATATATATATATATATATATATATATATATATATATATATATATATATATATATATATATATATATATATATATATATATATATATATATAATCACTAAAAGGCAACATAATCAGGAAGGGTTTCCCAGGCTTATGATTGGTCGACTATGACCTGACATGAGCCGATGACGTTACTTGACCTTTTATATAGCTGTGTCTGGCTGGCCTGGGTTAGTTGGTGGCTTGACCTCTGACCCGTGCTCATCTCTTCTCTCGCGCTGGTGTTCAGGCTTGTGAGATTCGCTAAGCCAGATGCACTCAACATACGGATAGTTACTATCTGCGATTATATGCAAGAAGGGTGATAGTATAAGTACATATTTGTTGAAGTAGCTGAGGAAAAACAGTGTTGTGTGGGTACTAATTGGTCAGGATCGTCTAATTCTCCCCTCACACTGCTCCGTCACACGCATTATCATCTAGAATTCTTCAGTTACACGCATGTGAGTGATGTGTGCAGTTGTGTGTGTGTGTGAGAGCAATTGGTGTGCTGGGAGCAGTGGTGTGTGACAGTGGAGTGAGGCTGTGTGACGCTCCCACCCACACACCGGCCCTCGTAACATTGTCGGGATAACGCTGGAACACCGCGGACCACCTCTCTCTCGCTGGGCGCTCTCAGAGGCACACGCGCGGGCACTCAATCTCCAGTGACTCACTGCGGTAGTTCCACGTGCGGGTCAACCTTGAATGACGTGATGCTTGTGGACTCTAACACAGAAACAATGATGGCGTCTCCATCAGGGAGTGTGTCGTCCAGCGCGAGCGGCGGGGAGGATAACAAGAGTCGCTTGTTCTCCTGCACCACGTGTACCTACCGGACGGACCGCAAGAACAACCTCAAGCGCCACATCTTCACCATGCACGAGATATCCTCCGCGCTGCTCGAGTGCTGCGGTCACCGCTTCCTCAACAAGGCCGAGCTACGGATGCACACGCAGAAGTGTCATCGGGACGGCTACCACTGTGGCGTCTGTCCCCGCGTGTTCTGCCGCAAGGCCCTTCTCAAGCGCCACTACTCTGTGCACTCTGGATATAGAGAGTTTTCTTGCAGTCACTGTTCCTATGCAACTAGTCACAAGAGCAACCTTGAACGCCATATGAAAGTCCACACAAAGGATCCCGAACCACTGGCACGTCATTTGCTGGAAGGATTCTTACCTGAACTACCTCAACACAACACCCACTTCCCACTCACGCTACCTGTGCACAACACCGTCCTGCCTGCTCAACATTTACAACTCTACGCAAATCAAGTTAACCCGCCATTTTACCATCCTGCAAGAGTGCCTCAGGCACCATGGCCAGTCTTGCCTCCCTCGCACACTCCTCTCCATAACCACCAGGCTCCGTATCTGCCCCACTACACGCCACCACATGTGCTTACTCCAGATAGCGACCTGCACAGCCTGAAGCCCAGCAAGCCCTTGGTAAAGAAGACCGGCCCCTCCAAGAGTTTCACAGTCTCCGCCTTGCTGGGGGAGGATGTGGACCGCAAGGACGAGGTCTGGTCTCAGGCTTCCTCAGTGCAACCTGCTAGCCACGCTCACTATGGTAAGTCACTCCACCAACACGTCTATTTTACTAGCTACTGTACATAATCAATTTCAAGTTCTTTTACATGTTATTCAAGTCGATATGAATATTTAAATCTTATTGTGTATGGTCTTGTTTGATAAATTTACTTTTATAGATGTCTTTTGTTTTACTTTTTTTTACTAGATGTTTTACTTTTATATATATAGATATAATATCAAGACTAGTAAAGTTTTCTCTAAAGTATTACTAAAATCTTTTGTAAGTTTTATCATTATTACCACTGCAAATAGGTTAATTGTCACATGCACTCGCCTGTAATGGCTATGCTGGTTTAATAAGCTGATTATTTAACCAATATATATACAGGTTTGGAATACATTAATTATAGGTACATTTAAGAGCTTTACACCACTAACATTTATAATCATATTTTAAATATCACTAAGATTTTACAGAAAACATACACGTATATAACAATCACTGTTCGAAGACTTCATCCATCTCTGGAAGTGGGGCGCGTGTCCAAGATTATTAACTTTGATATGCAATTAAGCATTGCTTTATTTATGGTGACTGTTTTCTGGTTACTAAAATTGTCAAATTATTACTACTGTATAAAAGTGTGATCATATGATATGAAAAATATCTAATTCTGGTTCTCCCTTAACAGGTGCAAGTACCTCATCAGAACCTGTGGCCACGGATGGTGTCCTGAGTAATGGCGCCTCACATCGTACTCACACGCCCACCGCTCCTGCAACACTCACGCCCACCGCCCCTGCAACACTCACGCCCACCGCCCCTGCAACACTCACGCCCCCCGCCCCTACTCCAACCACTTCCTTAGCATTTCTGCTGAACTCTACGAGCATCGCCTCACCGGAGGTACACTCAGCGAGGGACGTTCAAGCGTCCATCCCAACATTCACAAGTTCTCTGTGGGGCGCTCCTGGCCTCACCTTTACTCACAACTATTTGGATCCTTACCACGGGGTTTACAGCTTCCCTCCAGTTCATAGGACCCATTGGATACCTGGCAGTGTCCCCGCGCAGGATACAACCGCCAGCAGTATTCCCACGCTGCTGCCTCACCCTAAGGACCACCCTTACTGTAGCGGGTCGTCTGGCTACGGCTCTCATGACGAGCATTCCCCAAGACCTGTAATCGAGGACCAGCCCCAAGTAGAAGAACACAAGGAAGACTTAAGACAATCTCATACGGACGACCACCTGAATGACTTCGGCATATCTCGCACCGACGACCACAAGTGGGAGCTCAAACAACCTCACATAGATGACAAGGACCTCAGACAGCCTCACACAGACGACCACAAGAGGGACTTCAGCAAGTCTCATACGGACGAAATCAAAGGGGACTTCAGCAAGTCTCATACGGACGAAATCAAGGGGGACTTCAGCAAGCCTCATACGGACGACCACCAAGATTATATACCTAAAAAATTGCGCGCCTCAAAGAAATTCCAAGTAATGCAGAAATGTCCAGAGTAGTCTTTTGTGATGATTGTGACCTGCAGAACTTCTAGTTCAAATGTTGTGCCAAATATAGATACAAACGAATTGTCCCTGTGAGAGGTAGTGGTGGAAACGTAGCAAGAATAATTTGGAAGCCTAATTCTTAAATTGCGGGACGATATTCGTCGTGATCAATTTATGTATAAATAGGGGTTTTGTTTGTCAAAATTAACAACGCTTCCGTCTTCGATGACCACGTATCTGATTTTTATAGCCAATATAGTGTTTGAAAATTGTGTTCTTTTGTAAATAAAACTAAAACTTACATTAGCGTGTTTTAATTTACTCAAAATGTATGCGTGTGTATGTGTGTTTCTCGTGTTCTGTTTTTCACTTTGGAATGAAGCTCAAAATTTACTTAAATGTCCATTTTTAGCCCTCCCCCCAAAAAAATTTGATACATAAGCTCTGATTAGTTAATTTTCAATATCTTTTTCCAAGTGAAACATTCCAAGTGAAAAATATTGTAAAAAATATTCGTACTAGAATGATTGATCTCAGCCTCGGTCATATTCAATAACACATGTCTACAACACAGGCTGCTTCCAAAATGTCTGCCATAAAAGAAAAAAGTAAATCTTAGAGCTCCAGTTTTTTCTTAAAATTTTACTCGCCTCATTACTAGCTTCACTCACCTCATCGCCAGCTCACTCACCTCAGCATCCTCATTCACCTCACTGCCCATATCACCAGCCTCACTCATTCACTCACCTCATCACCCCCTGACTAGCCTCACGCCACAGTGTAGGACAAAACATGAGATACATCTTCACCTTTAAGGCACTAAGCACATGGATCCCCCTACCCGCTTATGTTATAAATGCCAAGATATTACTACAATTTATGATTAAACTGTAAAAGCACCTCGAGACAACGGTGGAACCTTTGACAAGCTTCCGGTCCCCACCGTGGCCATTGGAGATGGTGGCCCGCACGCAAATTAGGTAAATAATCTTTCTTTAGCGCCAAATATAACAAGTTCACAAAATATATAAGAATAAAACAGAAAGTCTTTTGGGCTATATAAGGTAATTCCTACTTATATATTCATGTCTGTACTCCCAGTTTACATTTTTTTTTAATTTATTAAATAGGCTTAACAATGGGCTTTTCTCCATAACAGCTGGTTCGTTAAGTATTTCATAAGTCCTTATGAATTAAGAGTTAGGTATTTCATCCTCCTTAAGCCGGTAGATTAGCGAGCCTTAATTGACGTTAATATTTTATCCCGAAAATGTCTGCATGTGACTTCCGAGTTTCCTGGAGGGTAGAAATAGCCTAAGCTACTCTATCCTATTGAGTTGTATTTTAATGGTCTCAATAAATGTACTTGAACGGAGTTTCCTGCTGTCCGTATGGAGTTCCCTCACTCATCTTGCCGCCTGTGAGTGACTATGAAGCTCCCCTCCATCCACACATCTCCAGTATCAGCTGTTGGTACTGGTTATGGCTCCATTGATTGATTGATAAAGATTAAGCCACCTAAGAGGTGGCACGGGCATGAATAGCCCGTAAAATGGCTCCAAAGAGCCTGCACTTTATATATGCCTGTTGATGAACTCCTGACTCTCCCCAGGATGCAACCCTACAACAGCTGCCCACCTCCCGGGTACGTATGTACTGCTTGGTGAACAGAAGCATTAGGTGAAAGTAAACGTGCCCAGCCATATCTATCTCGCTCGGGAATCGAATCTGGGGTCCCCAACTGTGAGTGGAGAACAAAGCCAAGTGTACTCAGTAACCTGTCCTCTCAAATAATATACCGCATTTTGTACGCTATGATTCCCAACGGACAAAATAAGGGCAACAGACTCCCGCTTATTTTTCATTTATTTACGCTTTGTCAGAGTTGCTGCAAGTTTAGGTTCTTCCCGAGCATCTTAACAAATTTCTCCCTATACTGACTCCTTACTCTCCACAGCCTAGCAACTGCAGGCTGTGGGGAGAGACATTCCTCCCCTTATCTGCCCCTATCATTCCTAATCCCCTCTCACCTCCTCCTTCATCTTACTCGTCTCACTCACCTGCTTCACTGATTTCAACACCCGCCAAGTGAAGGCCCCAGTTTATGCAGGCAAATTCTGCATTTGAACAACATGCATACTGCGCTGCACTGGAGCACACAAGCCTAGGATTGGTTCCCGTGTACTCAACTAGTGAGAGTGACAGCATTTGACTTATAACTTAGGTAGGATTGGAATGACTGATACCCAACTACACCCATTTTAATATTGTCAAATCGATGCTTGCAGTGAGTTTAACAGCATCATATATAGCTACTGTTTAGTTTCCTAGTAAAATGATTTTTTTTAGTAAACTATGAAACCTTTTAAACCTTGAAAGACATTATTTGGAACGAAATAAATCAATTATGACCATAGATATTGACCAAAGTTCTAGAGTGTCATCACTACAGGAAAGCTTTCAACACACTGACGGCGGATATTTATTGAGTGTAATTTTTAAGAAATATATAATACAATTTTTAGGGATCACAAAATAATTTGGCGTTTACATATTTTGTTTTAATTAACAATTGAAAAAGTTAAAGTAGTTTTAAATTGGGTTACCCTGTATAGGACAATGAAACTATGCACTGTGACCACCAATGATCCCACACAACCTACAAGCACTAACTACACACTGACCACCAATGGTACCCCACAACCTACAAGCACTAACTACACACTGTGACCACCAATGGTCCCACACAACCTACAAGCACTAACTACACACTGACCACCAATGGCACCCCACAACCTACAAGCACTAACTACACACTGTGACCACCAATGGTCCCACACAACCTACAAGCACTAACTACACACTGTGACCACCAATGATCCCACACAACCTACAAGCACTAACTACACACTGACCACCAATGGTACCCCACAACCTACAAGCACTAACTACACACTGTGACCACCAATGGTCCCACACATCCTACAAGCACTAACTACACACTGTGACCACCAATGGTCCCACACAACCTACAAGCACTAACTACACACTGACCACCAATGGTCCCACACAACCTACAAGCACTAACTACACACTGACCACCAATGGTACCCCACAACCTACAAGCACTAACTACACACTGTGACCACCAATGGTCCCACACATCCTACAAGCACTAACTACACACTGTGACCACCAATGGGCTGTAGAGTGACGGTCCAATATAAACAATGTTGTAAACCACTATAAATCTTCTAAGGGCCATGTTTAGTGGTCATGATTAAGGAAGGAAACCCGAGCCTTTATAAAGGCCGCCTCCCTCCATCTAATCCAATATATGAACTCTTCCACACATTTCTTTTGAAAGGCTCACATCGTTTTGGTGTCTTAGCCTTCACTCAGTAACCGGCCATCAAGACACAGTCGGTCAGGTACTGATGCTCGCTTACACCCTGCAAAGGAGGAAAATATTCACGTCATGAAAAGCGTTGTTTCTGGATCTCTAAGATAATAATAATAATAATAATAATAATATTAATAATAATTTATTCACCGCAAAGTAGCCTAGCCACTTGGGGTGGACGGTAGATCAAGTTCGAGTATGTTTATTGAGACAAGAAAGAAATACAACTCAAAGGGATACAGTAGCTTAGGCTATTTCTACATCCCTTGGACGGCAGAGGGACGGTCTCGGCTTCATGCAGGTCAGGGTTCAATCCTCGACCGTTCAAGCGGTTGGGCACCATTCCTTCTCCGCGTCCCATCCCAAATCCTTATCCTGATTCCTTCCGTGCTATATAGTTGTAATGGCTTGGCACTTTCCCCCTGATAGTTCGCTTCGCTTCACAAGATGGTACAATGAATTAGTGAGATTACATAAAATTAGCAGGTCCTTATGACATGAGAGGTGAATGATGCTTTACATGGATAGAGATAGATGGGTGGATAGATAGATCGATAGTTGGATGAATACATGGATAGATAGTTGGTTAGATTTATGAGTAGATGGATCGATGGATAAATAGACAAATAGATGGATAGACAGATGGCTGCCCAGATTGATGGACATTTTTATTTCAGGTACGGGATAGACATAGACCGGTCGGGGTAGGCCTAAGTTAGATCAATAATTCGATAATTAATTATCCTAAGTTAGAGTTAAGAAATATTAGCAATTATTCACAACCCCATCCGTTCTCTCGGAGTCAATGTGGGTTGAGTTTTTCTAAAGACGAAGAGTTTCCGCCATTAGAAAAATCCTAAAACAATATAATTGTTTCTTCCCCCCGTCCCATTCCAAATCCTTAGCCTGACTTCTTCCAAATGCTATATAGACGTAATGGCTTGGTGCTTTCCCCCCTGATAATTTCCTCTCTTAATAGCTCCCTGATATTATATTGTATAAAAGGGAATTGTTTTTATATTAACAAATGTAAGCTTAGAAACTGAATATCTTTTGTCCAGATAAAGTTGAAATGACATGCCAAATATTACCTGGTGGTGCGACCATTGTTGGTGGTGGTGATGGTGGTGATGTTGATGGTGGTGATGGTGATGATAGGTGGTGTTGGAGACGGGGCTGGGGCGGCCCTCACACCCCACCACACCAACACACCGTCCTGCAGGCCCCTGATCTCCCTCGCTGCAGGTGTTGGACGAGTTCTCGGTGTTACACACCAGCATGTTGCAGGTGTTAGTAAGCCCCGAGGAGTGGAGGGGAAAGCAGGTGTTGGTGGTGGTTATGGGGTTGTTGTTGTGGTGAAGGAGGTCCTGCAGGTGGTAGATATAGTCTATTGCCCCCTGCAGCGTCTTCGCCTTGCTTACACGCTTGGTCCGGCTGCCCAGGGAGTGAAACACATCTGTCACTTATAGGTTCAACATTGGCCCGCTTGTGCACCACACAATTGACTTTAGTGTCAACTCTGATCACAATAATGTTGTTGTTATTGATTCAGCTACTGGGTATTAACAAAAAGGTCCAAGTAGCACGGGCTATGGTGAGCCCGTAGTGGACTTACCTGACACAGGAGCGGGGGCTGTAACTTGATCACCATAAGAATATGCCACAGTAAAACATATATTATTAGTATCTTAAGCAATATATTTATGGTGGCTTTGTAAACTATACAAATATACTGTACCTACTGGAAAAATAACACTGTAATTCAATTCTTGTATATCAGATAATTTAAATATTATAATTATTGTTATTTAATAATGTTATCAGTCTCTCTTGAGACTGATGGATGCCTCCTACTACTACTACTATTTATATAAAATGGTGCGATGAGGGATACACAGAAATAATTATAAATTAATTACTGAAACCTTTTATTATATAGTAATAATATTCCTTCAACATTTTATTTATTTATTTATTTATCTTGCCAGACGAATTGTATGTTGTTATATGCTAATTTCTCAATTTAAAGTAACAAGAGAAAGCTATGGACCGTAAAATGGAGCATATCTTTCTGAATCATATTTTGTAGTAAAGTTTACCCTGCTCCATGTGTGTGAGAGAGAGCACGGTGTGCCGTAGCTAACAGAGTAAAGGGTGGACCTCGGTACACATGCAAAATAGCTACTAGGAATGTTGTAACATCCATTATAAACAACATTATTAATACACAGAACAAGAGTTTCAGAGTCTCATTTGTATGAGTTTCAGAGTCTCATTTGTATGGAGACCATTTCACACATGGGTTGTCCAGCATGGTGACACGAACAAGGCAGCTAAAACCATATGTGATACGCCAGAAATTAAGTTGGATATTTGATTTGATTTGATTTTTTATTTGATTTACATGAATTTACCTGAGGGCCACTAATATTAGTTTCCTCGACGAGAACAGGAAGCTGGCGGCTGGTCAAATGTCCCCCCATTTGCCATGATGATCTTTTCTATCTGTATTTTAAAACCCAGTGGAGTTTTGGCGTTCATGACTTTGGCGGGTAGGCAGTTCCACGGGTTTACACATACATGGGATATGGACATTACAATCTCTGTTGTAAAAAAACGCAGTATTTCAGAAAATTAGGGATGGCAAAAGAGCAGTCACTGACACTCAAAGGCCTGAAGGCACGAGTATAAAGAGCTATGATAAGTTTAGAACCGAGAATTATATGTACGGACAGAATAAAAAAATCCACTACAGTGTGACTTGCAATTGCTAGAAATAGGCTGAGATATCAATAATTATGGCAGGTAATGAATCCCCCGATGGTGAACATTCCAAATGTAAACTATGTGAACAAGAGCCAAGACACTCTCCAACACTATATCTGTGATTGTTCTGTTATCAATGATTTCAGACTAAATGGTATGAGGTACTTTGAGCTCTAAAACTACTTCAGACACGAATAATGGAAGGTATTGAGAAAATCCACAGGAGCTGTGACGAGGATTCGAACCTATGAGCTGGGTATTGCCAGACACTTTTGCAGTTCTCATGGCAGAGTGGTAAAAGCACTCGCCTGGTGCTTTGCGAGTACTTTCGCCTGGGTTCGTATCCTGGTCGATTGATTGACTGGGCGCCAATCCTTAACTGTGACCTCTGTTCACCCAGCAGTGAATGTGTATCTGATTGTTAAACGATTTGGAGAGTCGTAATTTGGGGAAATAAGAATTAAGGACTTGCCTGAAACGCTATGCGTGCCAGTGACTTTACAAGAACGTAAGAACTCTTGTATAAATCAAATACAAAAATAAATATATCCCAGTGATATATGACGTTACTGCGATTTCTCTGTGTACGGAAGGTATTCTTGTGCTCTATCCAGATTTTGCTAGTACTGAGATTAGCCTCTGGGATCCTTCACTTAAGCTGGTGTTTGTGGCTGAGCTGGCTGAGGAGTGAGTGTAGTGAGAGGAAACACAGGGAGGAGGGACTACTCACCTGCTGGTGCAGGGAACGACCCGCCGGAGCCTGGCAAAGGCTACATTCACCGACTGAACCCTCCGGCGTTCCCGGGCGTTGCGTCTAGCCACCAGGTGCGGCGGCTTCTCCCTGTGAGGGACGTGCTTGTACACGCTCCTACCTGCGGCGGGAAGGCCAGACCACGCTGCTCGTCAGTGTCTCACACCCCTCTTACTTAAAATATTTTACAGATAATACATTGGCTACCTATTTGCGAAAACAATGAATATATGAGCGTTATGTTATTGTCTATCTCAAGCTTGGGTTTGTCAGACATGAGCCATTTCGTGTCTGAATTCCAGGACATACCCACATTACAGGCCATTTGCTTCTCATTGGGCTTAGGACCTGTCAACCATTTGGTTCGTTGTTGGGTTTAAATCACAGGTGACATCTATCTTGAACATAGAAAAGCACCTTGATAAAAGCTTATCCCCGTAAAGGAACGCACCTTACGCAGATAATTGTTTATTCTAGAAGTTCACTATAATGGGTTCTTGGGGTAACTGTTGTTCGGCTTCTCTTCACTCTATGTCAGGATTTCTTCTATCCATGGCATGTTCGTCTTGCCAGTCTCATATCTTCCCTTATATATAACTTTCCAGGAATTTGGGAAACGTAAGAAAATTAGGATATTGTGTCCGGTTTAAAAAGCCTAACATTTGTAGAAGGCGCCTGATATAATAAACATTAATATAGGATTAACATCCCACGGAAATATATATTCTACCTAGCATGCTTTCGATTACAGTACAGCTGATAGTGGTATTAAAACACACACTGCTTCAATATTTTCCCGTAATGTCATGCCCACAAGTAGGTAGGTTAGATTGGGATTTGCCAAATTTCTGTTATTTTGGGTTCAAATAAAAAATATTCCAAACATATATAGTGAAAAGAAAATATTCATAATTCATAATAGTTTTATAATATCCAGAATCTATAAAATACATTCATAATAGAAAATAATTGAAATTTTTTTTAATTTCAGGAAAATTTAGGCTTGTTAGGCAGGTCTGCCTATTGTGTTCCGACGTGTATATGGAGAGAAGCAGGCAAAATGGTGTCCTCTTATCACTCTAGCATGGTTATTTATATTGCTTTGTTCTTTTGTATTATCTTTCACTCTGCGTCTGAGGATGCTAATTTGTTCATTGTATATAACATACATACATACATACATACATACATACATACATACATACATACATACATACATACATACATACATACATACATACATACATACATTCACACATACATACGTTTTATGGAGTATAGACGACAATACGAGTACTCACATTTTTTCTTTCTTTCTCTGATGTGTGTGAGGTGAGATGCAGTGGTCGGGGTGACGAGCGCCATTTGGTGGCGTTGAGTACCATAGGTCATGTTAATTGCTGGCACCGTGGCGTCGGGTTGACTTTTTGGAGGAGCTGGTGACGACGATTGAGTCTGAGGTGAAGTCTCTACTTGAGCTGCAGTAGCCAGGAAGCACTGCAGAGGCTGGAGAGCCACCAGTTGGTCCAAATGTGGCAGCTCTGTCAGGCAGATTAGCGAGTCGCTGAATACACACGTAGCTGGAAGGTCGTCGAAGGATACTAGTGGCGTGTCTTTGCTGCGTGGATGCTGGAGGTCGTAGTGTTGTGCGCTGTGTCGGGGTGGGTCTGGCGCCTTGAGGTCGTCGTGTTGTGCGCTGTGTTGGGGTGGGTCTGGAGCCTTGAGGTCGTCGTGTTGTGCGCTGTGTTGGGGTGGATCTGGCGCCTTAAGGTCGTCGTGTTGTGCGCTGTGTCGGGGTGGGTCTGGCGCCTTGAGGTCGTCGTGTTGTGCGCTGTGTCGGGGTGGGTCTGGGGCCTTTAGGTCGTCGTGTTGTGCGCTGTGTCGGGGTGGGTCTGGTGCCTTGAGGTCGTCGTGTTGTGCGCTGTGTTGGGGTGGGTCTGGGGCCTTAAGGTCGTCGTGTTGTGCGGTGTGTCGGGGTGGGTCTGGCGCCTGGAAGTCGTTACTATAGTACAATTGAATATTGTCGTCACAAGTCGTGAGTGGAAAATCTCTTTTGGAGATTGGCAGTAGGAGGTTTTGGGTAGATTGACGGACAGTGTGGTCGCACATGGCCGCTAGGGGAACCTCTCACATCATTGAAGATCACTCCTGCAACAATCACATGCAGTCACACAAATGAAACAACTGGTTTTGACAATTTTTTCAAGAATATTAAAGGAAGTCATAAATTAAATTGCGGCACCTTTGGCCATACTGTACTTTTCAATAAGTCACTTGAGACACTATCAGCACCACATAGCAGAAACTGGCAAATGTCACGCTCATCGTCAAATAAAGCAGAACGCTCAACAGAAAACTACCGAACACCCCCAGCCTAGCCTCACTTATCTGCTAGCTCGTGGGGAAAAATTCTCATGGAGGGAGTCATTCCCCCATCTCAAAGTGCACACACTGGTAAAATCAATACAATATAGTTTCATTAAACATAAATCCTGCCTTAATAACCTTCTCACATTTTTGGAACCTAAAACCGGGTTTTCAGCCAAAGGGCTTTCAGTACATGTATATATAAGCACACAGAATAAACGGTAAAATACCATTTATTTACAGTTCCCGTGGCTCAGTGGTAAAACACTTACTTGCCCAGCTTTTCGCGAGCGTTTTAGCCTGGGTGCGTACCCTGGCAAGGAGGATTGACTAGGAGCCGGTCCTTAACTGTAGCCTCTGTTTACCCAGCAGTGAATGGGTACCTGGTTGTTATCAAATTTGCATCTGTGTCAACTCTACAAATGGCCAGAAAAATGCAAGACTTTGCACGTAGGGTTATCTTGAGACGATTTAAACGTCCGGGGCTTAGCGTCTCTGCGGCCCGGTCCTCGACAAGGCCAATGTTGCCAGATTGGGCTACAAATAGGGAATTGGGCTACTTTTGAGAGCCCCGCGCTCCCCAATTTTTAATTTCGCTACTTGCTACTTTTTGGGCTAATTTAAAAGCAAGATGTGCTAATTTGGGCTATTAATGTTAAGAATGTACGAATGCGAGTTACATGAAAGTAACTAAGCTATAAATAATTGTAATTAATAATAATTGTAAATATTAATTAATACTAAATAATATTATTTAATAAATTAATCCCAATTCAATGCAGAGTTTTCTTCCAAGCAGAGAAACTTGTAAATATAAATACAAGATAATAGATAGATTGATAAATAAATAGACAACTTTCAAATATTGCACCAAGTAACGGCGAGAGGAAAAAATTAGACAGTATACATTACATTTGAAATTAATAATGGATGAATGGTAATAAATTGGTGTATGTTTGTATGTATACCAGACTGAAGTCGACCTAATTGTATTTGTGCTGCTTTTTCAGCCATATTCCCCCCTTTTTATCTCTTTTTTATTTGTTCTCAACTCATTTTATTCTTTATGCTCAATTAGTATTAAGCTTTAGTCATTTAAGTTTTTCATGCCCGAAACGCTTTGCGTAATAGTGGCTTTAGGCATTGATGTACTAGCCCTATCTATAAATCCATCACTCTATCTCTTGTATGTATGTACCTTACCTAAATAAACATTTGATTTTTGAATTTATACCAGACAAAGTCCGTTTAATGGCAGAATTTAGCCATTTTGTGTAAAGACTTTTTTATCTCATATTATTAATTATAACAGTAATCGAAAAAAGTCATAGTTTGTATATACAAGAGATGAAACAGAGCCATGAGCTAGAGCGATGTGCTGAGTCCATAAGGAGGCCAAACTTCCAGAAATACCTTCCTGTGATTGGCTGTTGCGGGGAATACCAACACTCTTTTATGAATAAAATTTAAACTAAGAAATAGGTCCTTGTGCACAACAACAAGATTGTTGTAAAAAAGAACAACAATTTATGTTTTGCACCTGACAGAAATCTCCATCTAACTGAATAATTTACTCGAATAAGAGGGCAGAGCAGTGTATCATTATTTGTGTGAGGCAACCCCCACTGATGACGTCACAAGTTAGGTAGCCAGCCCATGTTTCTGTAACACCCGTTACATCCTGCAGTATTTAATTATCACTATATTAATATTTTTAAATACTTAACATTTCACTTTTTAGGTAGATTAAAGTTGAAGCAGAATGTCATAAGCAAAGATGTTGTGCTGAATAAAGATGATTTATTAAGTGGATGGAGCCTTCAGCTGAGCCCTTCCTGTGATTGGCTGTTGTGTGAATGTCAACAAAGAATGATATGCCATTTATTATGCACCCCATACCATCTGTGGGCGGAACTTGGAACCTCCTACCCGAGCACAACAACCCACCTTATGGGTTGCTGTTTGGCTATTTATAGTGCGTTGGAAAAAAACTAGATGGCGTTAGTGGTATTTTGTGGAGTAATTTGTTATAAGTGTAATTTGATGTCAACAGATGGCGTAAGCTGTATCTTATGGCCACTATTTACCAGCTAGTTGATAGTGTTCTCTTCTGCCAACAGATGGCATCAGCTGTGTTATTATTACTTCCGAATTCCCTTTAAACACTGATCTACAAATCCTTTGGCTTATGATAAGGATTTATACCATTTATGATAAGTATTAGATAACTGGAGTTCCACAATTACTTTTATTTATCAACTGTTTAGGATATCATTATATAACGTCAGGTTAGGACTTAATGCTCTCGATTGATGATGATTAAGCCACCCAAGAGGTGGCACGGGCATGAATAGCCCGTAAATACTGCTCTCGTAATATTATTCAGGAGGGTGGGGGAACTATCAAGTGAAAGCGCCAAGCCATTACCACTATATAGCACTCGGAAGGGATCAGGATACAGATTTGGGATGGAACGGGGGAAAGGAATGGTGCCCAACCTCTTGGGCGGTCGGGGATTGAACGCGGACCAGTAGGAAACGAGATCGTCGCTCTACCGTCCAGCCCAAGTGGTTAAGCATATAATATTATTAAAACAACAATTTATGCATATAATAACAGCATTTCACACTATAAATACTTGGATATATTGAAATTTGGTAGTGAATTCCAATCTAGGAATCTCCTATGACTAAACTGTACTTTTTAATCATTTTTATGTACTTACTACTTATTATTAAATTATTAAGTACTTACTATAAAAATTAAATACATTATTTTACTTAATATTTAAATTAAATGATAAAATAATAGGTAATAATAAATCACAAGCTTCGTCTTGAGGCAAAGCTCAACGCCTTAAGCCAAATTGATGCTCTGTCCACAGAGCATTCTCTCTCTCAAATCATATACACTGATGGTTCCCTACCACGCACCACGGGTGCAGCTGGAAGTGCAGTTGTTTTGACAATGGGCGATGGCTTGTACTTTGAGTGGGGAGTCCGTATAAACAACTGGGCCTCTACCCTTCAGACTGAACTATTTGCCTTGCTCCTTGCACTGAAATGTGTACAAGTCTCCAAACTTGATACATTAATTGTAAGTGACTTTATCATCCTTAAATGCTCTCAACTCTTTAAGACATAACTGTAACATGCTCGTGTCCGAAGCTAGACACAAATACAACAAAATTATTAAGGATGGTAACAGAGTCCATTTCATGTGGTCTCCATCTCATGTTGGCCTCCGAATGCATGATAGAGCTGATAAGTTAGCCAAAGAATCTGCCTTTAAAGGAGCCGTTGAGTGTAACCCTGGATTGTCAATGAGCAATCCGAGAGCAGCAGTACACCGAGAACTTCAACAAGATCTTGTAGATCTGAGGCAAAGTGAAATTGACACCAGTAATTCCATCTATCATCATACTATCATGCAAGAGGAGCCACACATCTATGGATTATCCAATAAAATCAGCAGACTTCTAGATGTTACTACTGCTCGGCTTAGACTCGGTTACAAGTATCTCTGGGAATTCTCATTATCTGCCGATGTAGACCTGACCAAGATTGTAACCTATCCACCGCTGCCCACTGGATGGGGGGCGGTGTGCAGGACAAACATAAATTGTGACACTAGCTCTCCACATATGTCAGTTGCTTAATTTAGAACCTGTACTTGAGGTCGATCTCGAACCCATTGTTGATGTGACGACTTATATTGAATTGTGTAACTAGCTCATCAAGATTATAACTTGCTTAGCTAAATGAATTGTGGGGTTCAGTCCCTGAGCCCATTATGTGCCTCCTTCGAAAGGACATACAGTATCTTAATTGTGGCCCATAGTCTAGTGAGGTGCTTCCTCACACGATAGGCTAGTGAGGTGCTTCCTCTCACCATAGGCTAGTGAGGTGTGGCCCGTGCCACATCTTTGGTGGCTTCATCAATCAATCAATTGTATCCACTTGAACTCTACCTTTGAGAATGTTGACAAGGATCAACGAAACGCATCGCTGAACGTCAGGCCATAATATAAACATAAAATGAATTGTAGATTGATGTTAATTATTAAATATCCTTCTCAAATGAAGAGGAACGTATGAAATATAGAAAAGATTTGTGCTAGAATAATATATCTAATGATTCTTGCGGTCCGCGCCCTGTATCAATAAGTATATACAGAAACAAAACGAAATATATAAAATTTGTGTTGTGACCTATGTCTTCTGGAACTGGTGTTGTTGTTGTCTGAGGGCGGAGAGATGGCGAGGCTGTAGCAGAAACACACCACACAGCCGGCTAGGCTGTGGCAGAAACACAGCCGGCTAGACTGTGGCAGAAACACAGCCGGCTAGACTGTGGCAGAAACACACCACACAGCCAGCTAAGCTGTAGCTGGAACACACCACACAGCCGGCTAGGCTGTGGCAGAAACACAGCCGGCTAGACTGTGGCAGAAACACAGCCGGCTAGACTGTGGCAGAAACACACCACACAGCCAGCTAAGCTGTAGCAGGAACACACCACACAGCCGGCTAGGCTGTAGTAGAAACACACCACACAGCCGGCTAGGCTGTAGCTGGAACACACCACATAGCCAGCTAGGCTGTAGCAGAAACACACCACACAGCCGGCTAGGCTACCTGTAAGGAACTCAACAGCAGAGTGAAGGTGTGTTGATGTGAGGCCACGAGTGTGACAGAGAGATGAGGGTCCCTCCTCACCTGCCCGCTTCTCCCTCACACCACCCCTCTCCTCACTCTCTACAACACCTCA